CGGACGGCCGGGATTCCTTGCGCAAAACTAGAGAACTCTCCCTGGATTGGTATGAAGGATGTTAAAAACTCTACATATTTTGATCAACAAAGGGCGACAATCTCCAGTTTAACTCGAAAAGTGATCTATGCGTGCACATCCGCGTCCGAGGATAATTTTAACTTGCAAAGTGTCAAAATTGGAAGCTTTAGGATAAACCGACGTGTAGTAAAGCCTCGGTTGATGATCAGCTCCATCTACTAGAATTTCGAGTAACGAACGATTGACGAGCTTCCGATCAGTCAACGAGTTGTCACTGCGTGTGTGTGTATGTGCCTGTATCAGTGGATGGATCCTGCTTTCAGGGCATGGATCATCAGTCGCTTGCAGCCAATCGGTGAATTGATACAATTTGTTTGGCTATTTTTTCGTAAGACGAGTGTTTCACATGACGAGCTTGGTGCCGCAACTGATTAAACTCGCATATTTGCTTGTTTTCTGCGTTTAGAGTTTGCTCGGCGAAGTTCATTTCAGTCGGAAGTAAACCCACATGCGAGTAGCACTTACCAACCAATGTTTTACGTTGTTGACTTAAAAAAAATCAGGAAAACGAATACTGTTGCTTTCATATACACTTTTTTGCTTTTAATGGCAAGTCAAATTTGGCGAAGTGAAGCAAGAGAAATGACGGTGCAGAGGAAAATAAGATGCTGTAAGGCGTCACAACAGCTACACATTTTTTGTCTCACAGGACAATCGAGTGACATTGATTTTGTCTGGAGGAGGAACGGTTGCCGCTGAAAGTGGTTCCTCTGATGAATAAAGCGTAGGTGACTGCAGGAATATGCTCAACATGCCTACAAGAGAAAACAATTGAGATTCCAACGTGAGGACGCTTAGATAATATGCCGTAGCCGAACGTTCTTCTCAGTTTGACGTGGCTAAGTTGTTATATATGTCGAATTGAAAGCAAAAACGGCTTGTCACGTGGATGCTCATAAAACAATTTGAAGAAGATGCAATAAAATGCCATTTCATGTTCTATGGAATAATCAATTGCCTGGCAAAGCAACGAAAAGCAATAAAAGAATACATCCATGCTTCGTAAGTGGTCAGTTTTTCAAGAGCGCAATTTTCTGAAGCGGCCGAAATTAATTGCATTCGAAAGCCGGCATTCTGACTTGTCTGAAATATTTTCGGATTATTTTGTATGCTGGTCATAAATAATCTGATGCGGAAATTTTCAAACATTTCCGGGTTAATAGAATAATAGCCATCACTCTGCAATTAAAAGATTGATTAGGCAGGATCACAGATAGAATGCTTTTTAATGCGATAGGGATTTGAGTCGTCGACACCATGACCCCTCCATCCCATCTTTGAACTATGAAGCTTGGTAAACTAACCGTGCGGCTCGATAAATATTCTCTTACGTTCACATAATAGGTAAACCAATGATAATTTCCCTATTTTAGCTGACTAGAAAAAGGCCTTAATTTATAGACGGTGGAAGAGCTGTGGCAAAACTAACCAATAAAGAGCGTTCCACCGAAGATCCACAGAAGCAGGCGGTCAAGAACGAAGGCCACGTACTTCCATTCCGAGCGCACCTGAACAAAAACAGAACGGAATACTTGGTTCAGATCTAAGAAGTTCTGGGGGTTTACGATAGCACAGTATGGAACTTATCTGATACAAACTGCCGAACTATACGAAAGACTGATAATCATTCGCAAACCGGCATTAACGCATGTATGAAAAGTTAGAAATAATGATGAGGAACCCTGAACGAATTTAAAACTTAAAGCAAATATAACATGTATTGATCATTTATTTAGAGATTTCAGCTTTTTAATAGAAACCCCGAATTCCGAAAAAGTGAAATATCACTGTAACTGTGGCTAATAAATGTAAATATAACTGACAAGTAAAATCATAAGCAAAATATTTTGTTGCAAAGGAGATGAAGATGCGATCACTAGGACTGTATTTTATTTGTCTGAACTTTCGGCTTCGAAAAAGAGGCCATCTTCAGAGACAGTGAGCATCTAGCACCATTTTGGGTGCATTTAGAAGACCTCTCCTTTCGTCAAATTTAATTATAGATATTTCTGCTATTGGACTAAAATTACTTTCAGGTCAAACTTCAAAGTCCGGCAAATATTGCACGATTTGCCCTCTTTTAAGTTTTTTTCAATAAATTGAGATTCTTTTCGATGTGTTTATCACATTTTTTTAAAATAAAATATCTCTTAAAAGTATTTACCGAAGAAGTTGAAAGAACTTATCGGTCTAACCTTCTAACGAGTGGCAGCAAATTGCTACTTTTTCACTTATGCAGGAATATAATATTTGAAACATGATATATTGAGCCATAAAAATAAACCCAGGGTAACTGAAGGAACATATAGCGTCTTTGTACTGTTCGTTAACAACGTCCAAAAACCCTAGCTTGACGATTGGCATGGTCAAACCGAGGCCCAGGCAAAAGAAAAGCAGCTAAAAACTGTTCTGTCTGTGATAGATTGATTTCCCAGGCAATTAAATGGATTTCATCCATCCTACAATAAATACCGTTCAGTGAGTATCGTTTTTTGGGTCAAATTAACTGTTCTCCGAGATTTATAACCGGTTACTTTGTTTACCAAGCAAACAGAAGAGTCGCCGCTGGTGAGATTGAGGAGCGGTAGTTTTTGGTGGTTTGTTTTACGTTTACTGTTCCTTCTGGGATCATATAGCTTGAAACGATTTAACGTTGTTAGGTGCACAGAACTGTCAGTGAAATTTCGACAGGAATTAGCTCACCCCATCAGCCCAACCTCGACATAATTCATGCCAGCAGGATAGTGATTTTTTTATTAGTTTGAGGATTGATGTTACCTCTGCTGAGAGAACACACGTGAGCCATTTGAAGAGGGTAAATGAAAATCATTTCAAAATGGGAATCAATTCAAAGTTTCTTCTGATAAATGTGAACTGCACAACTTTAATTTACGCCACTGACGTTAGTTTCGGAATGCAGCGATCAACATTTTCTGAGAAACGTGTATTTTTAAAAAAATATATGCACCTATCAGTGCTTTTATATTAAAAAAGGTTTATTTTGCTATTTCTTTTTCGACAGTATGTAATTTAGAATGACAACGGGTACCAAAGTAGCCATTTGAGTAACATTTAATATTTATATGGTAATACTTTTGAAATCATTGACTTAAGTAAGATAGCAAGAACCTTTCCATTATAACAAGATGGGGAAGTTTTTTTATGCCACAAAAGAATTGGCATTATCAATCAAGGACCTGTGCGAACGAGCTGCATGCCTTAGTTCGCACTCAGATTGACGTATGCATTTTGTCTGCGAAATGCTTTGGTATAACCCATCTTGGGAAGGAAGCTAATCAGAAAAGGCTTTCTAACTTACTTAGAGCCTATTTTGGCGAGTCTTTTTTGTTGATAACCACATTCTCCAGCGATATAAGTTCATTTATACATATACGAACATACAAATAATAATCGGTGAGAAAAGGAACGCCTGAGCGATTACCACCTGGGTGAGAACGTTCAAGAACTGTTCAATTTTGAACGTTTTATGGCGACGATCGGATTTTTCAGATTGTGAGATGTCTATGCATTAAGCGTCGTATCTGTATGTTTATATATGTTGCTTATGAAATAAACAAGATGGCTCGCATAAATTGCAACTTGTACAAATAGTTTACGGAGTATTTTTAGTTGTGAAAGGATGCCTATGATTCTCATTCCAAGGAAATTATGCGGCACACAGTTTGCAATCCCTAGGTGCACGAGCAAATGCAGGTCGGATTCACAAATATTCGGCAATAGAAAATGTTTTTTAAATCAAAACATGCGCTTTCTTTGTGCATACAATTTAAAGAAGATGCTATTTTCTACCAAATGAGCACAAGAAAAATACCGTTATTCTTTTTTCCCGTAAAATATATTCGAACCTATGAGGGTGATTAAAATTCATGTGCAAACAGTATAATACTTAGTTAGTGATTTATATCGAGTGTCGATTTTGCCGGCGGCCGAAAAAAAAAACTAATTCGAAAGATGTCGTGACGGAAAGAGCTTGGGATTATGCTGCACAATAGCCAGAATCACAACTCTACCTCATTTATCTCTTCTCAATCAAAAACACATTTCAGGACTTCATTTATAATTTGATGAGATAGGTTAAGCTACTGTAAATACTTGTATGACAATTCGATCGTCAGGTTCGACCATATCCGCCTTGTGCTTCAGCAGGCTGAAAGCAAACACGGTGACTTTTACTTCAGTTATTTATAAGTGACAGTAGACTTGCACTGCAACTACCGCACTCTCGCTCGTCAACATGTGCCCGATGTCAAGAATACCGGAGGCGGGATCAGGCCCAATTGACTGGCGCGGTGTGAGCCTGCACGTACGCGTGCTACCACGCCCCATCCTCCATGTTAGCATTTGTTATGGGGGTGTGGCCCGAATAAAGTCTGTCGTGCCGTGATCTAGCCCGCGTTTTGGTCTACCTCATCGACAACGCGGCCCAATTAGGGGGTGCAAGTGTTTTTGTAAGTGTTCGATCACCACAACTTGTTAACCACGGTTCTCTACAATTCATGCGGTTTCATTTTACCTTCCATTTACCGAGCAGGAAAAGTTCTAACAAAAGTCATACAGTGTGCTTCTACGTACCTGAGCCCACTTTTCCCGTCTTCGAAAGTGTCCGACAATGCGCCGAACCCCATCCAGAGATTCCTCCAACTGCTCGACTGTAAGTCCATTCAGTACTCCTTTTAGAGCCATCGGTTCTTTGAGCAAGTCGGGTGGAAAGGAAATCCCCAGAAATGGCTCTTCCTCTTCTGAAAATCCAGTATTTTGGTACTCGTAAAAGATAGAAAAAAATACGTATGAATGAGGGCTGCTTCTCATGGTCTGCAGGATCATAAAATCTGGTCGAGCCCAGTTGTCTCAACAGAAGAAACCAAATGATCAAAAATCTATGATAATTATAAGGTGTTTCAGTTTTGACTTACTAGCGACTTTGTTCGAGTGTCCAGTTTCTTAATAAACAGGATCGTTGGTAGAAATTCGATGAAGACACGTCGGACCCAGGGCGAGATTGTGTGTGTGTCGGGTGAACGGGTGTGAATGTTCAATACTGAAATTGTGGCGATTGTGGAGAAGATTATGAGGAGCATAGTGAAGAGGAGAAACTTCACGATGAGTGGCACAACTAGGCTGGTGGGTGGAGAAATCTCGAATACGAGTAGAAAGAAGACAGTCAAAGCGATCAGGATGGATGTGCTGAGGGCGATCTTCTCGCGACTGTCTGCGGGCAGGTAAAACACCAGCACCGTGAGTACGGAGATGGATATGCAGGGGCATATGAGATTTACGCCGAAAAAGAGGGGTTTCCGCCGCATACCGATATAGAAGGTTATGTCGAGGTAGGGCGGAGAACAACACGGATAGAATTCCACATTACGGCGGGCAGATACACTGGTCAGATCCCACTCCACATCATCCGTGAACTGGGAGAGATCGATAGCGTAGTCGATGTGGCTACGGCAATTGTCGAAGGTTGTCTGGATGTTGGTCTTCTGACTGGTATGACGCAGGTCAATGAGCAAGCCATCGTACGTCCACGCACCGATTTTCATAGAACAGTTTTGTTTATCGAATGGAAAGTACTCCACATCGATCTCACACTGACTCTTGAAGATAATAGGCGGTCGCCAGACAATGGTACCATCGTAACTGACGAAGACTTTGGTCGTAGAAGAACCGGCCAAATCCCAATCACCGCCAGCACTAGAGCAAAAAGCCATGAAGGAAGCCATGTAAACAAGAGAGAGAACGTTCAACTTTTTAATTTCCTGAGAAAGTAATTTCTGCTCTCGGTATACATCGGTATATTTAAGGTCTATAGGCATAGACCGAAATTTTAAGTTTATATTTGGGGAACTCGCTGACGCGTCGAACCTCCCGCAGTTGTTTCAAGCAGCGGCAGAATACCAGCGAAACACTTGTCTGGGCCTTTTAGCTAGTACCTAGGCTGTTAGTATGGTAAGTTACAACAGAATATATACTACTAAAGTGTGTCCGTTGACAGCAAGTGCATATTTCGCAGTGGTTGACGGGTTTCAACCCAAATATACGCTTGCAATTTCGGTCTATGCCTATAGACCTTAAATATACTTATGTATACCGCGAACATACATTAATTTCTCAGGAAACTAAAAAGCTGAACTTTCAACGCCGGTATATCAACCTGAAAGCAGACAGGGAAAGCTGGGGGACTCACTAATGAGCCGGACCCCCGCAGCTGTGTCAAGCAACGGCAGAATAACGACGAAACACGTGTCTGGGCCTTTTAGCTAGTATCTAGGCTGTTAGTATGGTAAATTACAAGAGAGAGGACGCTACTAGGCCGATAGAGTTTTTTGTTCGTCAAATTCCTTTGAATCCGAAAGTACGATAAACAACGTTTATTAATTAAATTAAAATGGAAACCTATCTGAATTTTGGAGTTTATCAGCTGAGTGGGGCACTGGTTTTTGTATTCCTGTGGAGTAGAACGTCAGACAGGAGGTTATGCCCAAGATTGAGAAATTACTACAACTCAAAAACGGATATGGCGGCTTTTAAATCAGGATGAGACGAAAGTACTTCGCTGGCAAGAACCCCAATATCTAACCGCTTGGTAACCGAAGCATTCAACTCAATGGTCGTCTAAACCCATAAATGGTTTGCTAACAGGCTCGGACAGTCGACTGGCGTATGGGAGAGGGAAAAGAGAGAGGAAGGCCAACATTGGGTAGTCTGCATCCACGATGCACTAGCGCATTCTTCACTATAATAAAGCTAATGGGTTTCTATCTATCACGATGCACCAAAGAGTCGTGTTTGGGAGGATTCCCAACTGGTTGGCTAATTCGATCCTCCTGGGAGCGTCTTAGAATGACTAGAGGAAAGATTCACGTTGCAATTGGTCGTATTACTTTTGCATTTGTGACACTCACATATATGTGAGACCCGAGTCACTATTACAGAATTCTGTCATATAACATTGCTAAATTGACGCTCGCCGATCGGTACCGAGATGCACTCGTCCCGTCGTGCCTTGGGGTTGACTTTCGACCCCCACTAGCAGCCGCACAGCAGCAAGAGAACCTTACTGACAAAGACCAAGGAGACGGAAATGGCCACTTCTGGCTTACTAGTCGCCGTCAGCCAACCATACCTAACCCCGGAAGTTGCAACACCTGAAGGACGAATGCGCCCCTTAACCGCTCTTTGAGCGTTAATCTAGAGTTGTTAGTATTCCTGATCGGAACCGGCAGGACAACAAGCCCGGGGCTCAATTTGTAGAGCGTCAGAATTCTAGCCAACGGGTCGCGAGTTCGATCCTTCGAATTGGATATGGCTGGCCGATGACGGCTAAGAAGCCTGAAATGGCCATTCAAGTCTCTCTTGTTTTGCTAGTAATGTAATTCTGCTATAGATTCTGGAGGCCAGGTTGTGTGTGGTGCGCGCAGACAAGTCGCTTAGCTTTATCAACCACAGCATCTGCTGTCACATCCGGTTGTTTTGACATTCTTTCGTCATCGGAGCAAGAAATTCATGATGGAAGAAGGTATGATGTAGATGTTTCGCAAGTCTGTCCTGCTACATAATACTTCGCACGCAAGTCACCGATGCTGCGCTCCCTCTGCTGTGCATGCAACGGATATCGTCTCTTTCGATGGTTAAAACGATATCTACTGGAAAATAGTAGAAGCTGGCCACAAAAATAGGAGGAAGAACACAGAAGTTGGACCGATACCGCAGCTCAAATATAAACAATTCAAGGCCATTCGGCATGGCTTAATTATTCAAATGAATAGAAAACCTTGCCTAACTGAAGCTGCCAATTTTTTTACAGTCTGGCAGTTTCGGTAATAACTTAAATCGGCCAAAACACCCAATAATCATTCATATATCATTTTCTTATACTAGGAGGAACGATGGACAGCAGTAAAATATAGGAATGCTTGTGTGACCAAAATACCAGACTATTCACTCGGGATAGTCCAAGAAGCAGAAACTTGTGAGGATTAAGTGACAGAACTACATCGGAATACAGAATTAATTAGGTCTTATTAGGTATATTTTCGGGCTAACGCATGATTATGCGAAGAATGTGGCTGAGAAGCAGTAAATTATGTTCCGAGTCTATGCTCCAGCATCTAGGTGGCGCACTCTTATTGGTGAAAAGATTATCTGATAGTGAAAATCGGCAATAAGTGAAGACATTTTGTCGAGTTTGCGGTACTGCTGTTTTTTATGTAATATGTCTTGCCGGCCATTCATACACGTAGGATGTGCGGTTTATTCGATGGAAATTTGGGTGTCCTCCTTGAACTCTCTAAATGGCAAAATCAATGGAAGTATATGGAAAATTTGGAAAAGAGAGCAACAATCAGCCACAAACTAAATACGAAAACTGTACAGACAGGCGAACGCTTTCAAATGTTGACGGCATTGACATATAATGTATGTGCGAGCCTCGGCCGCCGCAACACCTGTATATGAGTATGACTGGCTGATGAGGGATGATAAGTCAAAAGTGACTGTTATTTCCGGCTGAACAAGTTTGGAATTCTCCACATCTCTTCTCCAGCG